ATACAGACTTAGGCCTAGTCATATATAAAATATAAATTTCTGTGGCATGTTTGTAGTATCTAAAAAGAGTGTCAATATCCCAATTACTACTTTAAAATAAGATGTGCAAACTCGCAAACACATTTCCAATGCATTTTATTTAAACTTCAAATTCCACGTGTCTTCCGTTTATATCATGGTTATTGCCTTGCACAGAGCATCATTACATTTGCCACTAGCCATATGGTAATAGATATGAAATACTTCACAAGCTAGCGCAGATGACCACAGTAATCCTTTCTATAAAACTTGCTATCATTGCATTAACTGCTAATACCAGAGTAACTTGAAATCAGAATTTGTACATCAACTATCGTGGATCACCTAGGCCTACTTTTAAAACGTTTAAGTTAAAAAAATATCATAGCTCTTCGGGTATAAGCCCATCTCCTACTATACACCCAATTTTAGATTCTAGCATTCCATCAGGCAAAAGTCCACTCAGGTATGATTTGAGCATGATTAGCATCGAATTACGGTATTCCTTTTAATCATCTACTGCAAACTTGGTTACTTGATTTCAAGATTTTCAAGCTATAAAGGCATTTGTATTTTTCATTTTTCTATTTTGCTTAACCCTTTTTTCATTTTCAATGACATACATTAACTTCATTTAAAACTGCTTATTGAATAATAGGCCTATGTTTATATTACAATGTTATTCTATTTAATTTACTTTATTTTGTATGTTGATTTGATTTTGAAATACAAATTTGAAATGAAATAAAATTAGGCATAGACCCCCCCCCCCACCTGCAAATCCTCATAATTTAAGAAGAGGGGAGGGAGAGGGGGTGTAAGGTGGGGAGGAGGGTTATACTGGAGAAAATATGGTACTCATCCAGTGGTGAAGTCTGCACCACTTTTGATTATTTGAAATTTATTTTTCCATATATTAAAATATCATCGTCTATATTCTGCAAGACATTCTACAAAACATATTTCATATACATGATTAATTGCATCTTTGTATCAGAGACATGAAATCCACAAGTTCATGTTCTGCTTTTATTATTGCATCATAAGCATCTCTTCAACAATTATAACTGTTCATTTGTGTTGCTCAAATTAAATCTTTTGTCAATATAATAAAAATTAATTTGTTTTGTTAATTTTACAAATTAAAATGTAAACATTACAATATTAACATTCAAATATTCCCTTTACTGATTAAGCCAGCATCCACTGCTAGTAAAAACAAGTGAAATATAATTGAACTATTAAGTTAGTCCAGAGTGCTACATTTTTAGTATATGTCTGTTATACGACTAACATGCCGGCAAATTCCAATTAAGTATTGACATTTAAATACATGTGAAAAAAAATTATGGAACACCATAAAACTATGAGCAATAAAACACCAACATTCAAATAAACGAAACACATTATTACACTATGTAAAATTATATAACATATAATAAATTTCTGAAAGTTGATTTACTTAATAAGAATTTAATTGGATTGGAAGCCCAAAGAGGTTCACAGAGAGTTGAAAGATAAATTATAATAAATTAATAGGCATAACATTCTATATTTGATCCTTGACCACAACAAATTACAATATTAATAAAACTTAATAACAATGATAATTATAAAGATAAAACAATTTCTTTGGTATGCAAAATGAATATATGATGTTGAAAGTTAAAGTTTGTGTAAAGTTACAAACATTTAGAGGGTCTATTACTGAAGAACTAAGTACAACAATAATATAATTGAATTTTGGGAAAACGCCGAACGTTTTACAATTGTGTAAAAAATGATAATCCAAATCAGCTTTAATGAAGCGTAGGGATATCTTCTCATACTTCCTAAGCAAACAAATTGGCAGGTCTTCCGAACTAAAATCCTTAATGATGGAACCAAACGGACGCAAATTGATGAAAAATACAACATATTTTAAGAAAAGAACTAAGGATTTAATTGTAAACATGTTTCGGGTGTTCTCTCTCACCCATCATCAGTACAAACTGAAAGGCGAAATAAACGGAAAGAAAAATCTTAACTAACTTAACTAAGAGTATTTATACAAAGAAATGAATGAATATTAATTAGTGAAAACAAACTGTTACCAATTAAGGTAACGTAACGATCGTTCTAGATAATCATATGCAAGGTGTATAAAACACCTTGCATACATTAGTGCTGTATGGTAATTGAAAAGTTGTAAGCTTAAATGTTTCAGTTGAACGTTGAGATTTGGACTGTTCCATTTAATATGTAGTGATTCTTTTATTCGTAATCTAATTTCACTGTTGTCCTGGTCAATGACGTTGAAGCAAGTGGTATTAGCTAATGTTTTGCATTTTTTATTTTCATTTAGATGTTTTAAAATTTGTGAATTTTTGTCTTTGCCAAGGTGTTCGTCAATCCTAGTACTCAAGTGTCGGCTAGTATAGCCTATATAGGTGGAATTACATCCACCACATTTGAATTTGTACACTACCATAGAGAGAGACATACCATAGAGCGAAGATTACTAGGGATTGCGTCCTTGATACTGAACATGTTTTTTATTTTTGTAGTGGTGAAAACAATGTTTAATTTCAATCCGGTGCAATGTTTAGTTACAATATTTTGTATCTTGTATTAAATATCATTAGAATATTTACCAATAAATGGAAGTTTGAAATACATGACTTTGTGAGCATCATCATTAACCTTTGATTTAGTGTAGTTAGTTACACTATTATCAATGTATTGTTTACAAATTTTATCAATGACATATGAGGGGTAACCATTTCTTAATAGTATGCCTTTTAGATTCATCAAATCATCATGGAAGCCCTTCCAACTATTATTGATTTTATAAATTCTGTCAATAAGTGTTTCGATTAGTCTCAGCTTATAAGTTTGTGGACAGAAACTACAAAATGCCAAAAGGAGACCAGTGAAAGTACTTTTTCTGAATATCGTTGTTTTAACTTTGCCATCATTTTCTTTGTATAAGAACGTCTAAAAAACTTAGTTTATTACAATTTTCATTTTCCATCGTGAAACTTATATTGGGGTGTCTGGAGTTGATAAATTCGAAAAACTCAGTGGCGTCACTTTGGTTATTAAAAACACAAAATGTATCATCCACATACCTACGATAATGTAGAAAGTGTGGACACTTGGGATCAGAGAGCCATAGTTTTTCGTTGGTTCCCATGAATAGATCCGCTAGGATAATAATATAATTATTGATAAATATAATAATAGTAAGAGAAATATTAATAATAATGATAGTAATATTACCAAGCACAAGCTTGGTGGTCCAGTGGTAGTGACACCAGGTTAGTTATCTGGAGGTAGTGGGTTTGATTACAACCCAAATCACTTAAAATTTGCTTTTGCTAGTATATGGGATCAAACTGAGTATTCAGTATGATAACACTTCAGGTAGGACAAAACATCACATTTTTCAGAGGTAAACACAGATTGGAAATAATATTATTAAAATTACTAAATAATAATAGTAACAATAACCTCAAATTTGATGCTAAAATCTGCCAGTAACCGAGTTTACAAAGTTTGACAATGTAGATCTGTTTTATTACATCATTCCTCAAAGACTAGTAAAGATCTATCTGCTGTCTGTTTAATGAATTCCACTCAGTAGACTCACAAAGATAGCTTAAATCCTGACCACGTATCTGTGAGCTCATCGTCTGATTGACAGGGATTGTAAAGAAAGCGCAAAATAAGTCCAATTTATGAGTGGCTATATTTATATGTCAGCACTTAATGCACACCATTCCTGGGAATAGATAAAGTCCCAATCCACACAACATTGCAAAGTTAAAAGAAAAATCAACAACTGGCTAAGTATTGGTTAAACAAGTTACTGCCGGAAGAAATCAAGTACTTACTGCCTGAATACACATTAAAATACAGAGATAAAAAAGTAAGTCCAAGCGAAATGAATCACTGCGTTGTAGTGAGCAGAAATTCTACCTGTCCTACTTTAAGGAATTTACTATAGATATGATAAATGTACGGAAGGTAGGGAGTATCGATCTGCAAAAATTTGGAAATAAATGCAATAAGCATGATTATATTGAATTATATAAAGTTCTCCAACAGTTGCATGTTACATGGCATAACATATCATCGCAAATCATGCTGTTGAATTCCAAGTAGGAAAAAAAATACATAAATGATAGCATGATATCTGCTAAATATGAAGCTCATGGTGCATAACAGAAATGATACTAAGAAGATACAGTGATGGACTGTAACTTCATCCAGTATCAATTTAGGGAAGGAAAAAAATATTGGAGTAGAAAGAAATGTGTAAAAAATATGATATTGTAGTGGAACTGCCGCTTGGTTGGCAAGATGCTTGCCTTCCAAATTCAACATTCCTGGTTCAAATCCAGTAGATGACTATGTTGGTGAATGTGCTTGGTGTTGGATATATCTAACTAAAAAAAGCATGGGAGAACATGAAGAATAAGAAGAGAATTTCAAGATAACTGTTAGAAGAAATGGAGAACATGGACTGATTCTTTTATGCTTATCATTGTCCATCAATCAATTGGTAAATCAATTCATTAATTGCAAACTACATAACAAATTAAAATCTAATTATCATTCATAAAATTACATTTTGAAAATCACATTATAATACATTAATGGAAGAGATAAACTGATTATTAAAACTCAACAAACCACATATTAAATTATTCAAATAATTACTTGATATAAAATATATTCATATACTCAATTATAACAATTCATTCATAAATTTCTATTTTGAAAATCCATTTAAAAATAAATTAAAGTAACAGCACAGTCAACTGGTGCATATGTTCAGAGTATTGCATAGTCTAGTACGGGTACTCTAGTGGATGGATTTACTTGTTCGCAATCTTTTAATCCAATTTCTTTGGTGGGTAAAGCAACACAAAAACAATCTGTAGCAGACTTGTGAACATTCCAGTAAAACTAGGGACCTATAAAATAAACAAAGAAAATACAGAAATCAGAGTGAGTGTCATGATAAGTAGAACAATTATTATTATCAATTTACTTGTATAGGGCACACTGCCAGAGCCTCCAGAAAATTATAGAGAAAATGAAAAGGAGAGCAATTAAGGCAATTCAAAGTCAAAAAGAAAAAGAAGAAAACTAATCAAAATGTTGGTGAAAGAGGAATGTCTTGAAATGGGACTTGGAGGAACTGACTGTCTTTTTGAGATAGAAAAAAAAAACAATTAAAAATTTAAATATTTTATTTGCTTTCTTGGTAGGTAGGCCTAATTATCTTTCATTCAGTATTCTATTTTGTTACATATATTAGCTTTTCTTTTTTGAGTCTCTTATATTTTAGCTTCTTATTAATTCAAATTGAATCTAGGAATTGCTTACTTGGTATACAGTTAAGTTGGTTTATCTTTCAATTAATTGCTCTCTTGGTAGGTAATTATCTTTTATTCAGTATTATATTTTGCTACATTTACTAGCTTTTCTTTTTAATTAGCCTCTTAAATCTTGGCTTCTTATTATTTCAAATTGAATCTAGGAATTGCTTACTTAGTATATATTTAAGTTGGTTTATCTTTTAATTAAAAATAATAAAAAATATTTTAAGACCAAATTAAAATGAATACAGTTTCCATATTCACCACATACATCTATAAATTGGCTGGTGATCAATTTTCAAAGTAAAAAAGTCTGTAAACCAGGAGATATTGAATTGTTTTGATCTGATCTCTGTCTCAATAGAAGATATTTTATCCTTTTAATTAAGCAATTCAAAGCTTTATTTGGCTGTCTGAAGTTTTTCTAGCTTTCACTATTGACAGAATATCGTTAAAGGGGAAGTAGTATTATGTAAATTCAAATTAATATAACGGTAGTTAATAGTTCACAGTCCACTCTATTTGTCTCTTCGGAAATTCAAATTGACATACAATTACTGGAGGGTTGGTAAAAGAAAAAAAAAAGAGACTCATCAAAAGTGTAAATGTTATCTTAATCTACTGTGCATCTAGATGAGTTTCCTTTGAAAATTAAACAATATCATGTTGCAAAAAAAATTAATATAAAATATATACTGTATAACAAATTTAGATGAAATCGTAAAAGTATTAATAGATATTCATACAATTTTTATTTTGAAAAATTAAATCAAGATAGTTGTTAATGAAACTTTCAATTTTGAAATTCTTAGATTCATCCACTGGTAAATTTTTTTTTTCTTTTTTTTCATTCTTCATGACAATAAAGACAAAACATGACAATCGTACATGGGAAAGAAAGCTAAACAAAAATGAAAATGAAATTGAAAAACATAACAAAACAATTATACATATGAGGCATGTTGTGGCAAAATGGCTAAGTTGTAGCAAAAATTGAAATTCAAGTTATTGGTATTTTCAGATACCTGAGTATGTGATCTTTAAAATGAGAGGTCATTCATTCATATTGAACATTTCAAGCCTAAGTTATTGGAAAGTGAAAGTACAGTACTCTTAGAGTCAAGATAAACAGGATTTTGAGTAATTGCCTTTCAAAGTTATTTGTGCATACACTGTTTAATAGAACGAACTATGAAAAATAACGTTAAATAAACAATTTGTTAAACCACTTTCAGAACTAATACTTTGGGATATGATTAATGAGACATTAAACTGTTGATCTAAAGTGAAAAACAAATTTGGGTTTTGTAGCAATTTTTTGAGCTCCCATATGTTATAGCTCATTTACTCAATACTGGACTGTGCGACAACTTAACCATTTTGCCACAACATGCCTCATATGGCCTATTAATATGAAATAACTTCACATGCTTAAGCTACCAATGTGTGATACTGAGAATATGCTTAGACAATCTATGTGGAATACTAGTAACTTGCCGAGGAAAAAAATTTAGTCAAGTAGATATTAAATCAGCTCAAATATCACCTCATTCCACTGGCTAACGCCCCCATTTTCTAAATGTGTTCCCATTAGCCCCCATGCCAATAATCCAAGATAGGCCATTGCTCTAAGCCTCAAAATATGGATATACGGTACGTCATCCATATGTCAATTCAAAAGCTGTAACCAATATCAAGTAACATGTGAAAAAATACTTAAGATTTGATCGTGGACATGATGATGACTTATCACACCCATATATGGACATGTGTTATCACACCCATATATGGACATGATATTTTATCACACCCATATATGGACATAATGTCCTATCATACCCAAATATGGACATACGAATGTCTCATCACACACATAATATGAACATGATGCTGTCTTATCACACCCATATATGGACATGATGATGACTTATCATACCCATATATGGACATGACAATGTCTTATCACAACATATGTGGACATAAGGATCAGTGCCGGATTAAGCATTGCCTGGCCTCAAGGCACATTTTGGAAATGGCCCAAAAATATTAATTGAATGGACCCCATTGAATGTGTCCGAGTTTTTTGGCCTAATAATACCGGAAAATAGAGTGTAAATAATATTGCAGTCCAACTTTTGATGGCCCATCATTTTCGCCTGGCCCACAAGGCTTGTGCCTTATTTGCCTAATGGTTAATCTGGCACTGATAAGGATGTCTTATCACACACTTATATGGACATGATTATGTCTTATTACACCCATATATGGACATGATGATATCTTATCACATGTACTTGATATCATAAAAAATATGTAACTACCTGGGTGTTCTATTATTTCTTCAAAATTTTAGGAGGGGAAACTATATGCTCTGTGACAATATCATCCCATCCCTTGGGTTTTTACAAAATGGCTCATTTCCTATCTTCAACTATAATATATCTATCCAAATTATGCACACTCTTGTCAGGCTGACTCTTGTACAACATCTCCTGGAATACCGTGTCCCAGTGCTGGTATCCTCAATAAGGGCATATTCAACGATCAAAACTCTTCAAAGTAGAGCTTCTAAGGCATACTATCCCTTTATTTATTGTCCATTTTATGAAGAAAGACTTGCACCGCTGTTTAAATTTGATTTCCTCACCATTTTATTTATTTGCAAATATCTCTACTCTATTCATTAGTTATATTTTTATTTGTTTCCATTACTCAAAGACACTGACAATTTAACATTTATCCATGCTTTCAGTTCACTAACACTAATGCCTTGAAACACACAGCTTTATTTTTTAATTAGTTTAAGATGATATTGTATATCATTTATAAAAATAATTTATTTGCATGTTTATATTATAATTTAGTGTGTGTGGATATATTATTGATATAAATTTTGAATTATTTTAATATACGTATCTTACATTTTGTGTTTTCTTGTGTTAGTTCAATGTTTGTTTCACTTCTATACCCTAAAGTGGCCTCAGTCACATGGTTATCTCATAAATTAACAGAATAAGGCGAATTCCCCCCTTCTCTGATAGTTAAAATATATATAAACATTTGGAATTACTCCTTTTTTACATCATTCAACATTCCCAGGCCACTGATAAATTCTCATTGATGTCAGTCTCTGTTTTACATGTCTCAGGAGAGAAGACAGGCTAATAATAATGATAAATGTAGCACTTGAAACCAAATGATGTTCTCAAATTTTAAGTTTAGAAAAGTCATAGGCTTCAAAATCAATTTGTCTTGATGAAATACTTGTACATTAATCTGTCAATCCAGTTTTGTGCGCATTAAGACAGTGTGTAGGCATATTGCACAGGGTGATATACAATAACAAAATTAACATTAAATTATATGCTGTATTATATCATGGCACTTCTGTGCAGTTCACAATGTCAGTCTGGTCTTTCAATCAATCAAACCTATATGATACAAGCTGTATCTATATATTTAATGACAACTTTAACAAGAGTAGAATATGATTCAGTGAAAGCACTGTATTTTTTGGGAGGACATGCACCCACCCAGGTACAGCATTGTACAGTGGATCTTCATTTCAGAAATTGTATGGGAAAAATATATTAAATTGTATTTATGAATTAAAAAAAAATATGTATGGGGTAAAATAAGTAATGGAGCCCTCGCTTAGGTGCTACTGCATGGTCGATGAAATCACATTCAAAATCACAATAATGTAATGTAAATATTCAGTAAATAGATTGATAATACTTTATAGTTATTGAATTGTGAGGAAAAATTTGTTATTGGGAGAATCATGGTGGCAGTGCGTGAGAGAGAACATGCAAAAAGCACACAAAAAAGTGATCTCAGAATCCGACTTAAGCCTTTGACCTCCCCCTGCAGCAGATGCAGGGGTGAAGACGGTGCAACTACACCCTCCCTCCCCCACCACCTATATTGTATTAAGAAAATTCATTCTTGTATTGTATTGTTGATACAGTATGAACATAGGCCTACTGTATATACTGGTTTGATTTTAAAGGTACAGTATGAGTGTAATTTCTGTGCACCTAGAGGTCCCAACCCCAACCATTTTATTTATTTATTTATTATTTATATATGTACATGTGTGTGTGTGTGTATATATA